TTAGAGGTTCACGTTCAGAGATTCTAGTGAATGAGGGAGAGAATTTAATAAGTAGAATTTAAGGAAGGTCTGATGAAGGAGAGTGTTACTCCACTGCATTCCACTCTCAGAAAAAGGTGCATCATCTTGGTGGATCTTCACTTATCCTCAGGTGATAGAGACAGCCAAGAGTCAACAGTTCCTACAGATGTAGAATCCTAGAGGGAATATTTTTAAATGAATATTCTATATTTATAAATGAATATAGTAAAATAAGAAGCAAGAATGCTAGGCACTATTGGAAATTCTCTGAAGAAAGGAAATCCAGGGAGAGTGGTGTTTGTGGAGGTGATGGGAGGTAGAGCTGAGTCTGGGGTACAGAGAATGTTGCTGGAGGGGTCTGAGAGAATGTTGAAAGACAAATTCAGAATTAAAATAAGAAGACCATCCCACCACAGGGTCAAACTGGAGTGGCCAGGAGTAATGAATGGCAGACACCCAGATGCAGGAAGTGGGTTTGTAAAGGAGGGTGGGCAAAAAGATCTCCAGGTAGTATTCTAAACCACTAGGCTGGGGGCGGGTGGGGGGGACAGAAAGTTTCATAGGGTCACAGTAACTTTTTTTTTTGTTAACAAACAAAACATTTGCCATTTCAACATTTTTGTATGTACACTTCCGTAACATTAACTACGTTTGCCATGTTGTGTAACCATCACCACTATCCATTTCTAAAATTTTCCATCACCCTTAACAGAAGCTCAGTGTCCCCTCAACAGTGACTCCCTCTTTCTGCCTCCCTCCAACCCCTGGTAACCACTAATAAACTTTGGTCTCTATCCATTTGCGTATTCTAGATATTTCCTGTTAAGTGGGATCATACAATGTTTGTCCTTTTGTGACTGATTTATTTCATGCAGCATAATGTTTTCAAGGTTCATCCATGTTAGACTGTTAGATGAATGAAGCCCAGATACACACAGCAGTGACTTTTTCTAGGGTAGGAAAAGAACTGTTAAAAGTGGGCAAGGAATTCAGATAGACATTGAAATTAGATAGTTATTCTGGGGCACTGATGTAAATTAACACGTGAGGCCCTGAGGAAGTGGAGAATTCCAGATCTGGTCTCTGCTTGGGGCAGCTTGCACAGTAACTGGGAGTACCATGCAAACACACTCAGGTCTTACTCCACATTGCAGGCTCCAGTGCTCAATGGAGGGCTTTGCCTTCAAGGGTCCTCAATAAATTTTTGATGTTGATGACAATTTTGACTTTTTTAAGACTTCTAAATTGAGTGAGTGACAATAAGTTGTTAGAATTTCCCTTAAAAATAAACTTGGAGAAACGAATCTTAAAATGGAAAATGAACATTTAGAAAGAGACTTAGAAATGACTCAACAACTGATGTTATGAAAGAGGCTTTGTGAATTAAAAGCAGACTTTGAGGAGAAAGATAAGTTAATTTTCTAACTCTTTGAAGAAAATTGTTTGAAATTTCTCAAAACCAGAACTGTTTCTTGTGGTTCCCCTGATTTAATTTACATTTATCAGGATATACTATTCATTTTGATGTGAAACAGAGTATCATGGCCTTTAAAATAGCTGGGTTAAATAGTAGTATATCATATTTTGTTGTTCTTTGTAGAAATTTTGGAGCCCAGAAATGGTAACTCTCTCTCCAGACAGCCTAGTCAGCATCTCTAAATGAGTAACAAACTACCTCCCTACATTTCTACCTAGATGTCTAAAAGACCTTTCAAATTTAACATGTCCCAAACTAACCAGTTAACTAGTTGCTGTCAAGTCAATTCCATAGAGTTTTCAGTGGCTGATTTTTCTGAAAGTAGATTGTCAGGCCTTTGTTCCAAGGAGCCTCTACACCTAAAAACCAAACCCGTTGCTGTCAAGTTGATTCTGACTCATAGAGACCCTGTAGGACAGAGTAGAACTGGCCCACGGGGTGTCCAAGGAGTGGCCAGTAGGTTCGAACTGCCAACCTTTTTGTTAGCAGCCGAGCTTATAACCTCTGTGCTGTCAGGGCTCCAAGGTGCCTCTCGGTGGACTCAAACTTCCAACCTTTAGGTTAGCAGTAAGTAGAGCACGTTAACTATTTGTACCACCCAGGAACTCCACACTCATCTCTCACCAAGGCTAAATAACCTCCTAAATAGATTCTTTGCTTTTGTGCTTGCCCCCTACAGACTATTGTCAACACAGCAGCCAGAGTGATTCTTTTTAAAGAGATCAGGATTTCAGTGTGACAAAGAACAGGAAGCATTCTGTCTAGGGGCTGAGAGTGGAGGGGAGTTTGTTTAATATGGAAGAGAGATTTGAGAAAGCAAATAGAAAGGTTTGGAAATAGGAATAGGGATGAAACTCCTGTATTTTTAAAAAAGTAATTTAACTTTATTAAGACTGTATTTCCCGGACTTGTCCACACAACCCTTATTTGCACGGTGCCTATTAACCTGTTACAGAAATAGTGCTGTACGGATTACAGTTTGGGAAACACTGGCAGAGCTCTCAAGGATAGCAGGGATGTGAAGCGCTCTACAATGGAAATGCTGCCAAGTCAAGGCACACTTGACTCTTAAGGTATCTGGAGGGCAGTGTTTGGACAAAGATGAGCCAGCTTCATGGCATCTGGGAGGCCACCCAGTGTAACTGGGTTGTATTTCATGACCATTTGTCTTTTCAACGCAACAAAACTGAGAACTCTGTGAAATCAGGGACAGTCATAATTTCTTTGCATCTTTGCATTTGGCTTATTTTTGAGCATATTAATAAATGCTAAATAAATATTTGGTTTTATTGAAGCATCCAAAGAGCAAAAAGATTATTACATAATTTCTTTTTTCTTCCTACTTTTGTTGGAGGTTTATTTTCCACTTAGGTTTTTAACCTCATGTTAAATACTCATATGTGTTGGAGCTAATTGTAGATTTTTAATAGTAATTTTTACTTACACCTTTCAGTACCTTATGTACCTACATAATTTCTCTCTGATAATTTTGACAAAATCGTTCTAGAAAAAGAGAACTAAAAAAAGAATATTTGATAGTTATTATTGAAATAGTTTTACTGATTATTGGAAATACATACAATAAAGAAGAAATAGTAAAGAAGATTTGAGAAGTTTGTTGGTAATTCATTCATTTAAAAGTGGTGGTGTTCCTTTAAAGTAAAATTCTAAAAACTGAATTAAAACTATAAAGCTATGCATATCTGACCAAAAAGTGTTATTACTATTAGAAAATTACAATGGAGATATTTTTTAGTTAGCTCACACAACATAATAAATATGGTTTTGTGTATAGAAGGTAATATGTGAACATTAATATATAATATATTCAGAGATACGCAGAACTTAATGTTATTAGAATAAATATGCAAATATAATTTACAATATTTACAAGAGATAATGAGAGAGAGATGCATGAATTTGCAAAAGTCAAATGCAACTTATTATATTGTTCCAACGTGGGATATAAAAGCAAAGATATAAAACAGTTGGAAATTATATTTTTTGAGCCTGGTACAGTGATGAGTCATACTTGAATTTTTGTTTTTTTAATTTTAGTGTAATTTATTATGCTTATATTAATAGCCTCTTCTGAAGGTACTTGCTGATAGCTAAATACAGGAAAAAAAGAGAGGACATTGGTAGAAACTTCTAATCTCTGGCTTGTTTGACATATATACCATCCTCCAAGGTTAGCAGTTGTTGTCGTTATTAGGCGCCATCAATTTGGCTCCAACTCATAGCAACACTATGTACAACAGAACGAAACACTGCCTGGTCCTGTGCTATGCCTACAATCGTTGCTATGCTTGAGTCCATTGTTGCTGCCACTGTGTCACTCCATCTCGTTGAGGGTCTTCCTCTTTTTTGCTGACCCTGTGCTCTACCAAGCATGACGTCCTTCTCCAGGGACTGATCACTCCTGACAACATGTCCAAAGAATGTAAAACGTAGTCTCGCCATCCTTGCTTCTAAGGAGCATTCTGGTTGTACTTCTTCCAAGACAGGTTTGTTCGCTCTTTTGACAGTCCATGGTATATTCGATATTCTTTGCCAATACCAAAATTCAAAGGCATCAATTCTTCTCTGGTCTTCCTTATTCATTGTCCAGCTTTTGCATGCAATAAGATGCGATTGGGTCAGGCGCACGTTAGTCTTCAAGGTGACATCTTTGCTTTCCAACACTTTGAAGAGGTCTTTTGCAGCAGATTTGACCAGTGCAATGCATTTTTTGATTTCTTGACTGCTACTTCTGTGGGTGTTGATTGAGCTGTCCTTTATTCTGCTATTCTTAGGACCGAGTTCACCAGCATTTATTGCTGAGCTCTACCTCCCTCTATAATGTGGTTTAAGAGAGTAATATAAACTCAGCCTAAAATTGGCTATTTCTAGTCTACTTTTCTGATTATAAAGATGAGCACACAGAGGCTCAGCAACATATAGTTGAAAATTGCCTGCACAATTTTCCACTCTTGAAGAACACATTTTTATGACAGTCCTAGGCAGTTACAATAGGAATCTTCATTTCCACTGCTGAGATTTATCTTGACATAGAGGCCCTTATGCTCAGGTTGGCTGAGTAATGATTGTGATTTGGAGAATTGTTTGATAAATGTCTGTGTGATCATAAGAACCGTCTCATGTCCGCTGGACCTAGAATTTAGGTGAGCATGCTGTTAGACCATTGCTTTCCTTCTGCCCAGTTCTCCACTGTAGTTTCAGTAAAAGCATTTGCTTCTAATCCTTTCTCCACTCAGAAGAAAAGCACATTCTACCTTGAACAATCTTTCTACGTACGCAGAAGGAAATAGAATACTTTTTCTTATGGGTTAGAAGAGCAAAAACACCGTAATAAAATGGCTTGAGTAAATTTCTATTTCTACCTTGAAAAGAAGAATGTCTGATTTTAGAGTCTAGAAGTTCATAGTCCCTTCACCAATATTTTGTCGTTCATATTGTATAATTCAGCATTGTCCCTCAATGATCATTGTTAATTATTTAGGCTTCAAGGAGACAGCCTGGCAGAAAGGTCGGAAGAAACATCACAGATACTTCATTCTCCAGATGAACTAATCCCAGATTCCTTGGGTAAGTTTTAAATCCAAAAATACTTATTGTAGTTTTAGTGGCACTTGAAGATTAAAATAAAATAAAACCGAACTAAAAATCTTCCCCCGCCCCAAATCAACAACAGCTGCTGGTTACATACCCATTCCCAGCACACTCCTTCTGGCTCTGTGTGTCATGAGGTTAAGGTCAGGGAAGAAAAGCAAGCTAGAAGAGTGGATGCTGAGAAGAAGCCTCTTATTGCCTGCATCTGCCTAAGGTACAAACAGATCAGCTATGTGTTGGCTATCCCAAAATGATGTCACTAATTCCAACTTGTTTTTAGAACTCCACATGTCCTGCTGGCTATCCATAAATTGGATCTTGAATCCTGCTGTACCCCTAATTCTCATTCTGACATCATAGGACCCATTCAGTCTTCCTTGGCAGAAATGTCAACTTCATACTTGATTTTCCTCCTCTCTCATTCCGGGAGTCCCTAGGTGGTAGAAATAGTTAAGTGCTTGGCTACTAACTGAAAGTTGGTGGCTTGAATCCACCTAGAGGCCTCTCAGAAGAAAGCCCTGATGATCTATTTCACAAAAATCACAGCCATTGAAAACCCTATGGAGAGCAGTTCTCCTGTGAAGCACACGAAGTGGCCATGAGTTGATACGGGATCACCATGAGTCACAGTCAACTTGCTGCAACCTTTTTTTTTCTCTTATCCCTATATTGGTCATTAAATCTGTCAATGTCTCTTCAGAATCTCCTCTCCAGTCTCGCCTCGTCGTCAGCCTCCTTGTCACTGCCTCAGTTCAGGTGGTTCTCTTTCTCTGCCTAGTGTAGCAGCCTTCTAAAAAATAAGGCTGCTCATTTCATTCTCATTTTATATGGACAAAATCCAAACTTCTTAACTTAGCATACAAATTTCATGTCCAACCCACTGCCTTTGAGTTGATTCCTACTCATAGAGAACCTACAGGATAGAGTAGAACTGCCCCTTAAGGTTTCCAAGGCTATAATCTTTACAGAAGCAGACTGCCACACCGTTTCGCTGCAGAGTGGCTGGTGGGTTCAAACCACCGACCTTTTGGTTAGCAACCAAGATCTTAACCACTGTGCCACCAGGGCTCCTAAAGTTCATGTCAGGAGCACTACAAAATGTTTGCTGAATAAATAAATGAGCAAATGATCAACTGATCTAAAAAACATCACCTGCATCATCAGTCAGTACTGTGGCTGAAAGCAGCTGGCACATCCAATTGGGATAATTAGAAGAGAAACTACAGGAAATGTTTTCTTTAATTCTGGATAGAGAAGGACATCTTAAACAAGATGCAAAAATACCTAGCCATAAAACAAATAATTGAGAAATTCAACTATTGAAAATTTTCGTTAGATGCCAGATAAAGTTAATAGAGGAAAAAAAATATGAGAATATATTTGCAACAGATATCACTGACACAAATTAATATTTAGAATATATAAAGAAAAGAAAAACAAACCAATAGAAAGATAGGCAAAAGAGATGAATAGCTATTTCACAGGAGAGGAATTGGCCAATGAACATATGAAAATGCTTATTTACACTAGTAATGAGAAAAAAGCAAATTAAGACCACAGTGAGATGCTGTTTTACAATCATTTGTCAATAATTAATAACTGACAAAACTAAGTGCTGGTGAAGACATAGATCAAAGGGAACTCATATGCTACTAACGGGATATAAATAATTTTGGAAAACAATTTCCCATTATTTTAAAATGTTGACCATTTATATAAATTAAAACTCAGAAATTCCATTTCTAAGTAAAGATCATAGAGAAACAAGTCTTGTGAACCAGGGAATATGAGCAGCTATGTTCATAGCAGCGTTGTTAGTATAAGCAAGATTCGGTAGGTTTGTGGGCAGGAAAATGGATAAATTGAGGAGTTGTTACCCTATAGGGAATTGAATGCATTTCAGCAACACACATAGGATGAATGAAATGAGTAGTATGCTAGTAAATGTTTAACAATTTGTTCTCTGAAAAAGAAACCCCCTCATTCATAGGGATTGATGATTTCCATGGTGTAAATACTCCCACCTCTGTGGCTGATTCAGGAAATCACCCTGACTTCACTCACCTCAGATATGGGCTCTCCTAACTGGTGAGTAGGTTCCAGCTCACCACTGAACGAGTCTTCAAAATATATCATTGATTGAATAAATGCAAGTCATAAAAATCCATTTTTCTAAAGCTCAGAAAACAGGCAAGTCTAAATAATATGTTCTTTAGCAAAACATAACATAAGTGATAAGACTGTATTTAAATGAGGGGATGATAGACCCAGACTGTTGCTTATCCTCAGGGGATCGGTAGACACTGGGGGATAGAAGAGGAAGGAGCCCACAGGCATACAAAAGTTATTGGAAATGCTCTAATTCTTAAATTAGTTGGTGAGTTTAGAATGCTGATTTTATTATTGTGCTTTGTTATTTAAATATACATTATATATATTCTTTTTTGTATGTCAAATGTTACCTAATAAATGTTAAAAAATGGAATGGTATGAGAACATAAAAAGTACCTTTGTAGCCCAATACAAAGAAATGATGATAGTTCATATATACCCAAATCTATTGTACTACCACTGACATGGTGCACTCTCACTATAAACCTTTAACATTTATAATGACAGTTGAGCAATGTACCCCTAACGAAATGGAGGCCCCACACCGCCATTTGTTGGCATTCTCTTAGCTTCTGAGGTCAGCCTAGCCTCTCCTCACTGGTACTGTTGTATCTGTACCTGGACTTAGGCCATTCTTTGCTGACTACTATGTTCTTTCTCCTCCCCTCTGCCTATGCAGATCCTATGCTCTAATACCTACTGCAAGTCTCCCTGACCATCAGCCCACAGCTGCGATTCCTTTTCCTCAACCCCTAATTACTCTTCAGTTGCTTCTTGGGTGTGTGTTCTTCTCATCTCAATTGGATTGTATGCTTCTTGAGGTTTGCCTGTGTTCCCCACGGGGCACAGTACAAAACTAGGAAAAAGACAGATACAGTTTGAATATTTGCTCATTAATTTTTAAAAATTCTGTCAGATATACTCCAATCCACCCATCTACAGGTACACATCACTCAGCGATCGCATTTATATAATTACTGAGAATTGCAGGGATATTAAATTCTTGGGAAGTTAAAAGGCAATCTATCTGTAATATGTTGTTGACTATACTTACTTGCTGCCGTTGGAAAAATGCATTCATTAAATTTAAGCTCCTTTACTGAAGTGTTGATATCCTGCAGTGTTCACATTCAGATATTAGTAGATCTAATCAACAGATTCCCAAATAAGAGTTTCTGATTTATTACATTCCTTTCTACTTAAGTCAATCAGACCACTAGCTCCAGTAATTAAATATTACTGACATTATCCAAAAGGACTAATGCAATTTTCATGTCAACTGTGCTGTGCATACACATTGAACTTAGTGAGCATAAATGTATAATTTTGTGAGTACGAAAAGTGTTCTGACATGAGCAGCAAAAGTAAACATGATGACTGGAGGAAGTTGGATACAGCTAGATTCCTACCAGTCTTCCCAATCAACCACAGAGGCTATTTTCTAGCCCAAGTGTTGAAGAGACTGTTAGACTTTGACAAAATTACTTTGTCTTTCTATGCTTCAGTTTCTTCCTCTCTAAAATGAGAAGGCTAGATAAATACGCTAATACTTGACAGATTTAAAGACTCATTTTCTCCCATGTGATTAAAAAAAAAAAGCTCAAGAAATTGATCACTTATATTTTAAAAATCATATATACTTATAAATTACTCTGTAGTAGACAGATCAACTTATTTTTCACATACTGTATTTGCACATCAATTATTATGTAGTGTATTCACAATACTTAAATTAAAAAATAACTGAGTGTATCTCTTCAAGCAATAAACACTAAGCTTTATTTTCCTGATGTCTGTTGTCTTTCCTAGCTTGTTAGATTTGAGTCCTGTCACTAGATTTGAACAATTTAGCAGGGCCCATTCAACTTAATAGCTCTCAATATGATCAGACATGTGACTTCTTAAATATTCTGGGAGAACTTCACAGTTGTCCCTCTACTCTAAGCTGAATGGGCTTTACCATATTATAGATCTCACTGGAAATGGCACACGTAACCTGGAAGAACTCAACCCAAACAACAACAGAAAATAAAATCATAAAAAGTTACCAATATTCTCCCTTTATAAATTCCATGGGAGAAAAGTTGATAGAAAATAATCTTGTTCAACATTATTTTCAAAACACCTAGTAATATGCCTGGCATACAGTATTTGTTGAGTAAATGAATATACAGATATACAAGTTAAATGAATGAATGAATACATACGTACATAATCAAACCAGAGTGGTAACCCTTTTTTAAAAACATAAACTACTCACTAAGAGGAACTTGAGAAACCATTTATAAAAAAAACAGTTGCCGTCAAGTCAATTCTGACTCATAGTGACCCCATGTGTCAGTGTAGAACTGGGCTCCATAGAGTTTTCAATGACTGATTTTTTGGAAGTAGATTACCAAGACTTTCTTCCAGGGCACCTCTGGGTAGAATCAAACAGCCAACCTTTTGGTTAGTAGCCAAGCGCATCAACTGTTTGCAGCACCTAGGGACTCCTATTTATAGTATAGTGTTTCTAATTAGAAAAAAGAAAATCACCAAATCCACAAGAATATGGTTTTCTTGCCTTATATATGAAAATAGTTTGCTTTATAATGTAGAGTAGAACTTTTTAATAGTATTTATTAAGCCAAAATTGGACTCAAATAAGAATTTCAACACAAAGAAAACAGAAAAGATGCTGAGTGAATACTGAAATTACTCTAGCATTTGCTGCACAGTCCTATAGAGTAGAGTACAGACTTGGATGACTTAAATTATGGTTAATTTACATCCTAATTTAAAGAGCCTAGCTATTTGTAACTTTTACAACTGGGTTTTAAAAGATGGGAGTTAAGTATTCTTTGCAAGTGGATTCTCTCCTGATTTTTTCAACTAGAATTTGCTTCTCTTTAATGTCTATGTCTGTTTTGAAGGATGGTAGGTAAAATTTTTAGGTTTATCTACAATTTGAAAATATATGTGGTTCTCCCAAAGTTAAGTTTTATGGTAGAAGACAGAATATGTTCTAAAATAAAATCTATATTTACATTTAGGTAAACTATGTGCTCTGGGATTTAGTAACTTTTCTTCTTGAGTGCAAAATTCTGAATTATCAGAGACAGAGAGCTTCATGATTCAAACAACTTTGATTGTGGCTTTGTGCAAACCTTTCTTTTCCATTGCCTCCCTGGTCCCAAGTGGCCATTAAGAATTAAAGGATTTAATGCTCTGATTTTCTTCCCAGGGAGTGCATTTTATGCAACAGAAAAACCTGTCTTCATAGGTATGTGGAACTGAAGGAAAATCTTCTTTAGGGATTCATGTGGCTTTCTCAAATATTAATAGAAATAAGAAATCAATTTAAAAAGTATTCAGTGGTTTAAAATACCTTCCTCTTGACTGATTTTTTTCTTTGAATTGGAGTTAAAATTTAACTAAGGAAGTTGAGCGTAACAATCTCTGATACAGAGAATTTCTAGTTACCCAAATACTCAGAATTATGTATAACCCATGGGGATGACTGTTGTTATAATTTAACTCATCAGACATTTAGAAGGAATTGCCATCATTTTATTAATGTATTTGAAATTCATCACTCACCCACCCTTCAGTCTATTCAGGCTAAGAAATCACAGCTTCTGGCTTGACACATTAAAATGGAAGATCTACCACCAATTAATAATATGTATCCTTACTTGAACTCTTTTTCGGGTTTTCTATCCCTTTTAAAAGAAAGAACACAAAGATACTTAAATTGTGTAACCAATAAAAAAAAAAAGTGAATGGATAAAACAGCAAATAATATTAAATTTCAAAAAAGAAAAAAAAAAAACATTAAATGTAAGTTCCAACAATAAGCTGGATAATATATCAAAAGAAAGATAACTGCAGCTCCTGTATATTCCTGACTTCACTGTACCCCTTCTAAATTAGGAATACTTAACATTTTTCATCCACCACTCATCTGTCAGCTTGTCATACTGTGGTGGCATGCATGTTGTTCTGATGATGGAAGATATGCCACCGGTATTTCAAATACCAGCAGAATCACCAACAGTGGACAGGTTATCAGCAGCGCTCCCAGACTAAGACAGACTAGGGAGAAAGACCTGGCGATCTACTTCCAAAAATTAGCCAATGAAAACCTTTCAGATCACAACAGAGTATTGTCCAATACCCTTGGTTGGAAGTCACTCAAAATACACAGTGGCCACAACAATGGACTGGATGATTGTGAAGATGGCGCAGGACTGGGCAGTGATTCATTCTGTTGTACATGGGGCTGCCATGAGTCAGAGTCAACATGAGAACAACTAACAACAACAACAAGACAGTTTTCATAAATTGTCTTTAAGCTAAATAAGTATCACCCTCCACTTCATTTTAACTCACAGACTCTGATTTTTCAATAACCAGTTCAGTCACTTTAATATTCTTCTCATGATAAGTGTATATATTGGTTTAAATATCAGAGAATTAAATTATATATCAGAGAATTCGTATGTAACTATAATTTATTCATTGTTTTTATAAAAATAGATTCATTACCTGGAACTGAAGAGGCCCTAATGGAGGAAGGTGAAGAATTTGAGAAAGCATCTAAATTAACAGGACGTGTAAGTATATCCATTTGTTTATTTTTTGTCTCTAAAACTAATGTATATTACCAGTAGGAAAATACAGAAGGAATAGAAAACAGCATTCTTCAAATTAAAGAATATTTTAAAATATCCATACAGGATGCTTGTATCAGTAGGTGGCCAACTTCATTACAGGTATACAGATATACAGCAAGATTGTACTAACACTTTTCTTTTCAGCAACTGGGGAAGAAGGTTTGAACAAGGTGGAGAAAGCTAACTTCTGGTGTTATTAGGTGTTTACTTTTACATATGAACATTCTAAAAGATTATGAGCTGCCCTCGTAGACTTCAGAAAGTTTAACTATACATATTTTTATAGAAAAATAAATGTTTTGCTTATCCTGGAAGCACACTTTTAACTTAAGCATGCTATTTTAAATTGTGAAGTCCTTGTGATGTTTTTGTTAAACCGTATCTCTTCAATAGAGTATACTGGGGAAAACTATAAGGTTAAACATTTTTAAATGTAATATAATATAGTGTTAAAAAAAGAAATAAAAATGGAAATATGTGTGTGTATAAATTCTAAACATAAAGTTTATAAAATACATCAAGTTGCTAAAAACTCAACCCGATTAATAATGCAGTCTTGTTGTTATTGTGTGCCATCCAGTTGACTCCGACTCATAGCAACCCTATATGCAGGGTAGAACTTCCCCATAGAGTTTCCTAGGCTGTAATCTTTATGGCAGCAGATAGCTCTGTCTTTTCTGCCTGCTGGTGGGTTCAAACAGCAGACCTTTCCTTCAGCAGCCAAATGCTTAAACGTTGTGCTACCAGCGCTCATTAATGCAATCTTGGGTTATCCTAAATATAATATATGGATGGACTGGGTTCCTATACCACTACAATCTCTCATTAAATCACATTATTTAGAATATTTTTATTTTATTTTATTTTACTGTGCTTTAGATGAAGGTTTACAGAGCAAATTAGTTTCTTGTTAAACAATGAATACATGTTTTGTGACATTGGTTGCCAACCTCCGAACGCGTCAACACTCACCCTTCTCAGCTTTGGGTTCCCCATTTCCATTCATCCAGCTTTCCTGTCCCCTCCTGCCTTTCTCGTCCTTGCCCCTGGGCTGATATGCCCATTTAACCTTGTATACATGGTTGAACTACATTTATTATTGTTCGTTTTATGGGCCTGTCTAATCTTTGGCTGAAGGGTGAACCCCAGGAGTGACTTCATTACTGAGCTAAAAGGGTATCTGGGGGCCATACTCTCAAGGTTTCTTCAGTCTCTGTCAGACCAGTAAGTCTGGTCTTTTTTTGTGAGTTTGAATTTTGTTCTACATTTTTCTCCCTCTCTTTCCGGGACCCTCTATTGTGATCCCTGTCAGAGCAGTCGGTGATGGTAGCCAGGCACCATCTAGTTGTGTTGGATTCAGTCTGGTGGACGCTGTGGTAGTAGTGGTCCATTAGTCCTTTGGACTAATCTTCCTCTTGTGTCTTTGGTTTTCTTCATTCTCCCTTGCACCAGACAAGATGGGACCAGTGGAGTATCTTAGATGGCCGTTCATAAGTTTTTAAGACCACAGATACTACTCACCAAAGTAGGATGTAGAACATTTTCTTTATAAACTATGTTATGCCAGTTGAGCTAGATGTCCCTCAAGACCACAGTCCCTAGTTCTCAGCCCGGTAATTTGGCCCCTCAGGGAGTTTGGATGTGTCTATGACTTTACCCTGGTCAAGTTGTACTGACTTCCCCAGTATTGTGTCCTGTTTTACCCTTCACCAAAGTTACCACTTATCTATTGTGTAGTTAGTGTTTTTCCCTCCCCACATCCCCGTCCCTCGTAACCATCAAAGATTGTTTGTGTGTGTAAACCTTTTCATGAGTTTTTGTAATAGTAGTCTTCTACTATATTTGTCCTTTTGTGATTGACTTATTTTACTTAGCATAATGCCCTCCAGATTCACCCATGTTGTGAGATGCTTCACAGATTCATCATTGTTCGTTATTGTTGTGTAGTACTCCACTGTGTGTATGTACCATAGTTTGTTTATCCATTCATCTGTTGATGGGCACCTACGTTGTTTCCATCCTTTTGCTATTGTGAATAATGCTGCAATGAACATGGATGTGCATATGTCTATTCGTGTGACGGCTCTTATTTAGAACATTATTTTGATCATAGGATTTCGTTGACGGCACTGCACTTTCTGATGGACTTCTTAATGAAATTTCTTAAAGAAAACTGATATATTAATGTATTTTTCCTCATATGTCACTCTATAATTTTTGCTTTCCTGATCTTATTTTAAGTCTCACATATTCCTTTTTTTTCTATATAATACTTACCACCGTCTATTGTACTATATAATTTATTTTGTTTAATGCCTATCTCTTTTCACTATAATATAACCCTTTCAGTACTCAATTATTTTCTGCTTTGAATTTTTTTTGATGCCATGTGTTTTCATTAATGGAATGCACACTGAATCCTTGAGTGTGTTTGAATTTTTGGTAGGTACCACGGATTTTTTTCTTAGAGTCCCAAGGTACATATGTGTACCACAAATTCTGCTCCCGAAGTTGAATGGTGCATATGTGTACCAAAAAACTTTTTATCAAAATCTATATTCTCCATACCAAAAACATTGATTCAGCACCACCTTATACAGTATCCTGTAAAAAAAAAAAACAAAGTAATTTGCAGCACATACCTGTTTCTTCCATTTCAAAAGTTATGCAGGTCTGTACCTTGCAGCAGCATGCAGTATAAATGGGAAAGCAGCTTCCTAGTCAACCACAGCACTAGAAAATGTAGGTAGTTGCTGTATATACCACGGGTCATGAAAGAGATATGGTCTATGAGGGCAAGAATTTCTGTCCCATTTTCACTTCTGTACCCCTATACGAGTGCCTATACATAGTACACACAAAACAAAACAAACCTGTTGCCATCGAGTCGATTCTGACTCATAGTAACCCTGTAAGACAGAGTCGAACTGCTCCACAGGATTTCCAAGGAGCAGCTGGTGGATTCGAACTGCCAACGTTTTTGGTTAGCAGCCAAGTTCTTCACCACTGTGCCACGAGGTCTAGGTGCACAATAAATATATGTTGAATGAAGGAATTTAGTCTGGAATAATTCTTGACCACGAGATGAAAAATATTGTATTGTATTGCATTTTCTTATATGACATCAAATGGTACAACCTTAGAAACAGAAAGAACCATGGGTGCTAGTTAAGCTTTTCATCTCTGACTGTTCTGAGTAACTGTCCCACCCCTATTCATTGCAGGAATATCCATTTTATAGATAAGAAGATAGAAACTCAGACAAGGTTAGTAACTGAACTGGACCAAGGCACCCATTGCTAAAAGAGCAATGAGGCCAGGAGTTGAGCACTAGTCAATTGCCTTTTTGCTGTACATCCTTGATACTTGCATTGCTTTTCTGTTCCTTTTTAAAAGAGTTTATTTTTATTTGTTCAGAATTTTTCTCTTGTTCCTCACAACCACTTGTAGCCACTGATTTTAGTTCTACTCCTAGACTGAAAGCCTAAGGCTAATCCTTCTTCTACTTAGCTGATCTTCAGATGTCAGAAGCTGTTAGCATATCCCATCTTAGACTTTAGATTTTCAGCCAAAACACAGTCTGTTCTTTCAACCAATTTTTACATCCAAAACACAATCTGTTCTTTCAACCAATTTTTACATTGTGTAGTTTTCAAAGATTTCAGTACTCTTGATGCTTTCTCTGAACATATTCTTGTTTGCCAAGTCCCCTCTAAAGTGTGGATTTTGCCACAACTGAATACAGTGTTCCAAATAATGTTCTCACATCAGAGAGTATAATGGGATATGTGCTTGATACAAATATTATTTTTGGATTATAGACTAGGGTTGCATCAACTTTTTTTAAGAAGCAACTTTCTGCCATTAATAAACTTCAGTATGTCTTCATAGTCTCGTGATGATAAAGGCATGCCATCATTCAGACTGTAATATGGCATTCATCACTTTTTTGCAAATGTTTGTTTTATCAGCTATGAATTCCTTTCCTCATGCCTAAAAAGATATCATTAGATTATTTTCTAATCACTGTCTAAAGCAAGATATATCCTTCTCATCGTATTTGACTTGATAACACCTAATAATTCAAAGAATAAACAAAATTAGCATTATTTGGTCAAACTTCTTCTGAGTGATTTCAAACTGGCTCTTAGAGATTTTGCTTTCTTTCCCCAGTGTCTGCATGGTGCTTGCCCACAGCAAGAATTTGTTCTGGGTCAATTTTACTTGTTTTCAATTACCATTCATTAGATTTTTAATTCTTGAAAATTCTCCAGTTCTATTTAATGCCATATAAACCATTTAAATCTTTCTGGAAATATGTGATATATAAAGACAGAGATAAATGAACAAATAACAGACCCTAGACACAACAATTTTTAGATGGTAGCTGCTTTTCTTATGAAAAAAGAACATGACATTTAAAAAATTAATTACGTGAGAGTGATATTTTAGATGCAAATTACCAAAGCATACTTCCGCAGTATTTTGGGGGATAATATTTTTTAGTAAATTAAGAAGAAAATTGTACCTTTCTCTAAATATTAATGGAGAATAGCAACAAAACAGAACTTTTTTTTCTCTATTACTGTAAGAAACGCAAAATAATTCAAAGCAAATTCTGAGTCATATCCTGCAAAAATATAAACATGCCACAAATGCTGAAAACCATTCAGATTCGTTTCAACACATGCTGTTTCTATTTGCTAACTTTCCGTGTTGGGGATTGGATATTAATAAGTGGGTAACAGACTCTTGGAAACTTTTCCCCCAGTGGCTTAACTTGTCCTTGAAATATTTTGCGAATATTTTGTGAGTATTTAAGTGCGGTAAAGGCAACATTTAGATTTAGATTTTTATCCTCTCCCAAATAAGCAAGTCATTCGTCTGGAATTTCCCTGTCCCCCTCCTCCTTCTGTGTTCTGGAATGCCTGTTAGCATAT